TAGCGGAGTAATTAATACCCTGCTTTAAAAATCTAATACTATTTGGTTCCAGCGGAGGCCCCAAGGCTCAGTGTTAGGAGTCTACGGGGAGGAGGGGTTGTTCATGGTGTGCCCATTTGGACAAAATACCAGGTTTGAGAGAGTGGGTCGAACTTTTGGAACGGCGCAGTAGTCCCCTATATTATCCCACATATACCCCCCCCTGTAGGGAGTTCAGACTATAGTGCGTGCGGATGAAGCCATCGTCTGAGCTCGGCACAGTCTTGCCAGGAAGTTTGAAGATACCGCGCCCTAGATACTCGTTGACACCCAGGGGACCTGCGGCAAGCTTGGCAGACAAGTGGGATGTAACCTACTCCCAAGGGATCCAATCAGCCCAATGTAGGCAATATCTACAGACTCTAGGGACCAATGTAGGTATTGTTTGTATACTTGGATCCCTGAAACCTAAATCCTAACCCAATGTAGGTAATCTTTGCATACCGGGATCCACAGAGACTTGGGAAGGATGCTGGCAGAAATCCAGAGGCCCAATTTTGTCTAAAAAGCCACTGGCATTGGCCTTTGCGCGGGAATCCGCTCTCCTATCCATGCCAAACATGCCTCCAATCTCGATCCAGTCTCCGGGCTTTTTGCCTGCCATGTTCAAGTTGAACCCTAAACCCTAAACCCTAAACCGTGTCTCGCTCGAGCACTGCTGTGGCATGGCTTTCTAGGCACCTTGAGGCAGGTATCAAGACCAATTCCCATATTGTTGAGGGGAGCTCAAGAGAGTTAGGGTTTAGGGTTTAGGGTTTAGGGGGTCAAGTAGTAATTTCCAATACTCCTGTTAGCTTTGAAGGCTATAGTCCCCCTTAAGTAGATAGAATATGGCTTTGGGTAGATTGTAATAACATCCCCATATACCCCATATTTTATCTACTTAAGGGGGACTATATCTAAACCCTAGGTCATCTCACCCCATTGAACCACCTCAATGGCAGACTCTGTAGCTAAGGATGCTCACAGGTGCTTCAAGGACACTCAGAGAGTGCATCCCTATAAATATCCCCACATAATCCCCAACATGCTATAGTAGTTCCCATTGTCTTTTCCATTGTTCCCCTCTATATATACATATAATCGTACATGTAACATCTCCACATCTCTTCCTGCCGTTGACACGAAGAAATCCAACATTGACCTCTTCACGCAATCGACGCTTATGCGGCTCACAGGAGGAGCACAGTTGGGGTCTCCGTGGGTTCTCCGTCTCCGGAAGCAATCTCTACCAGGACCTTCCTTGTACCCTTAATTGGGGATATATGGTCCCTAATAGTGGGTACTTAGGCCCTAATTACTAATAGAGAGTAGGAGGAGGGTCTAGGTATTTGCCATGCCTGAGCTGCCGATGAGGCTGACACGATGCGGGCGCACAGGGATGCTCCGCTTTGTGACTGCCTGGAGTGTACCTCCTTCGTCCGCATCGCATGTCGCAACCGATGGTTCTCTGTACAACAGCTGTTTGCTGTGGCCCCATTCGATGTCAGGCAGCAGAGTGTGCTGTCGGACAGGATCAACTTTGAATCCGTGCCCTGCACCAAATATCTTGGTCTATCAATATGACTTGTCACCTGTCAAACCTTCAGTAACGACTCTGCAAATCGGTGAAAGCAGTGATGCCTTCCATGCCGTGGTGGCATCAGACAAATAACTGTGACCTGCTGAGTCAGACGATACGATTGCTCCGGGCAGGAAGCATTTCGAGGTCTCAAGGATGCATGCGTGGCTCCTTTACCGATTGAAGTATGTCGGCCCCCGGGCCGCCCTTGCCTACCCAGACCCCTGGGAGGATCTAAAAATTAGATCCCCTATATAGACCCATTATAACCCCTATATAATCCTTATATAATTTCCCATATGGTTCTAGGGGAAGCGCCGACCCCCTCCTTCCTGGCCAGCATCACTGGACCTCCGTTTCTCCCGAGGCTCTCCAAAACTCCACTCCAAAACCGAGCGGACGTTCACGTGCGCTTCTGGAGCCAACCCCCAGGCTACGGAGGGATTGTTGAGGGAGGTTTTGGGTGCCCAAACAACCCCCCCCAAATCAGCATCATGAGCACAGTATGATCCTCAACAAGGAAATCCTTTGTCTGGGGTTTCCCATAGGAGAGAAGAAAGGATTTCGGAAGCAAAGGCACGGGTATGGATCCAGTGTTGACTCTCGGGCTTCCGCGGACCTTCCGC